TTCGATGTAGTCGTTCCACTTCAAGTCAGTTGAAAACACGAGGCCAAGAAGGCGCAGTGACTCTCCATGAGTCTAGCATCAGCCATGTAGATAGCGAGTAGGAAAGTTTCTCTATGGTGGTTATATGAAAGCAGTTTTGTTTTGGAGGTATTAAAATTTACGAGCCATTTCCTTTCCTGGTTAACCACAGATTAGAGGTTCTTTTCAAGAGCAGCGGGCAGGTTAACATTGTCAGCTCTGACGCATTTGGTATTGAGACAGGAGTGAGTGGTAGTGTCATCAGCATAAATGCCTACTTGGGAACTGAAATGTGAAAATTTAATTTTCAAAAAATAATGCCGGATTAAATAAACATTAATTGCTTAAAAGTGACACACACACACATACATATATATATATATATATAAAGAAATATAGTCTTAAGGTGTTATATATTTATGGGATAAAGTGCTCAACATCAGAGATAGAGCGTATGTAAGTATAAATATAAAAGTGAAGTCAACACTCAGAGGCGACAGGTTGTCTTATGCTAGACGTCAGTCCGCCTTATATATATATATATATATATATATAATGGCTGGCCAATCGTTTTCGAGGACATGGGCCTATTAGAGCGGCTAGTCAATCCCTGTTGTAGACGCTAACTCAGGAGGCACATTTCCTTAGTTACTGTTTCTGTGAGAGAGTGCTTAATATCCGTTGTGATCAATAGTTTGAACATCGACGGTACACTCATATACTCGATCACGATGACTTGTGACTTTGTGCTTGCACAGCCATCGATGAACAGTTCCGTCTACCCACAACTCTTGTTGTTAAGGCTTGGTATGGTTTCCGGGTACTTTTCAACGCTGAAATTGTCTGCTGCGGGGTGATAGCATCAAGAAGAAATCGACCTTACTAAGATTCGAACCTGGGTTTTTACGATTGGAAAGTGAGCGTTTTTATAACCACTCCACTACGCACCCATATATATTCATCATAAATAACAGAAACCATAAGTCATGGACACATTAATAAACAAATAAAAAAAAAACTTTCTATAATATTAAAAAAAAAAAAAATCAAGCAAATTACGCTGTACTCATGCAGACTAACACAAAAGAAAGATTTACACAAGTATGCACATAGTGCATACGCACATATACTTTTAAATCCACGATGCCTGATAAAATAAAGTAGATTTTTCTTGTTTTCTCTCTTTTTCTAAAACACACCGAAAATGGATCAAATGATGATTGTGCATGCAGCGGACTTAAGGCCTCCGTGCATTTGCTCATTACATAGCCTGCTAGTCATATGCACACGCCCTGATACGCGTCAACCGCCGAAAGCCGTTACCGACCCATCCTTCTCCGGTTACACGAGACACTAATGGTTCCTCTAATCCAAGATAAGCGCTTACAGCAGCCTTGGCAGTCGTAGACATCGATGGCATTTTCTCCTATAAACGCGAAGCTTTTGCTTTGCGAAACTGCCTTTGAAGAAACGACAAAAACAAGCCAAAACAATGATAAATAAAAGACTAATACACAAACACACACATATATATATATATAATCCCTGTGGGTTTGTGGATATGCGTCCAATAACTAAAAATGATTATGTAAATTTGTATTCACACTCAAGCATAAGACAGGTATGGGTGTGTGAGTATATACATTTTATTTTCAGGTGTTATGTGTGCTTGCATTTTGGACTCTTATCTAAGCAAGAATTTACAAATGCAGAGAAATGTGTAGTAAATATATTTATATGATATTGATTAATATAATCTAAAACCGTATTTTTTCCTTGATAGATAAACGTGAATTTTACATAAATCTGTACATAGCATATTGAGATGTTAAGATATAAGGGTGATTAACTTCAATTACACACACACACACACACATATATATATATATATATATATATATATATATATATATATAGTTGTTTAAGACATTATATGCGCGTGTGCGTGTGATAATATTGTTTCCTTATAAGGAAGCATTATAAGCACACAAAAAAAATTCAAAATTATTTTTTAAAATACTGGGGGAGCTGAATTGTAGTAAACTTTTCCATTTTTATGATTATTAAAATGTAGAGTTTTTATTTAATGACAATATCATTTGACAGATAAAAAGGAATATAAAATTTTAAAAGTTGATAAATTTTATGTTATTTAAAATTTTTTTAAATTATTGTAAAAATTCATTACTCATTGAAAAGAAAATGTTCTTAAGACAATAGTTTCCATAATATATTTTATTCATAAAAGTAATTAAAAAACATTTCTAATTGAATAATTTCTTAGTTTTAAAGTATTTTTTATTTTACAATTCCTGTTTGAGCAAGATTTATGATTTAAATTCTTGGAGAAATTGTCCTTATAATTAGAATAAACATTTTAAGCGCTATAGAAAAGAATTTCATGTAATTTAATAAGTGGGGGTAACTGATGTAAAAAAAAAATAATTTTTACCCAGATTTTCTAAAGAAAGAAACTTAGAAAATAAATTAATTTATTTGTGAATAAATCCTGAAATTAAAATTCAGCAATTATCAATGTGTTTTTCAATGCAAAAATGATGCTCAAATTTCCTATACTAATTTATCTTCCCACTTTGATGCCAGAAAAGCAAGATTTTTAACCAAAATCTTGAAAGTTAAAAAGGATTAGAAAAAAAATGATTTTTACATTAAAAAATCCTTTGGTCTTTCCTCTTAATAATAACAAAGATTTTGAGAATAAAACTTTGTTTTTATTAAATTTGAGGCATTTTTTCATCATGTATGCTCATTTTTTTATTGAATCTTTGGAGGTACTTACTATTACTCAATGCCATTACACAGTGATCTGACAATAAATAGGTATGAACAAGACTTTATATATTATTGAATAGATATTCAAATGTGTTTCTATGCCCACTATTAGCAAAAAGTGTGAGAAAAGAAAGTGTTAGCATAGAACTTACACTTATATCTAACCAACTCAACTGTAAATATGGGAAAGTAACTGAAGCCTAGATGCCATATCAGAGCCAATAATATTGCTGATTCTTCTTTGGATTTTTATCTCTAGATATATAACAGGAGCTCTGAACCATATTTGGTAGCAATATTCAAAGTATGGATGAATGGTAAACTTATAGATATGTAGGATAGATTCTGTGAACCAACTTTTTTGACAGCTGACCTAGCAATGGATTCAATATAGTCTTTCAATTTCATATCAACTGATAACATTAGCCCAAGAAGATGCAACAAGTCATTCTCTTGGAGGTTAGCATCAGCCATACTGATGGAAGGCAGAAAGTGGTCTCTCAGATGGTTAACAGAGAGCAGTTTTGTTTTTGAGGCATTAAAATTAACAAGCCATTTTTTGCCCCAGTTGACAAGGTTGTTCTTTACATCAGCTGCCAATTTGACCTTATTGAACTGATCAGACTTACTATCAAGGCAAGAGTAAATTGTTGTGTCATCAGTATAGAAACCAACTTGAGAGCTGAAGTCATTGGGAAGTTTGTTAATGAAATTTAAAACAATGTAGGACCAAGGATAGAGCCTTGGGACATGAAAACAGAATTGTGGAAAGCAAGGAAGAGGTGGAAATAAAGTATTAAGAAGGAAAGATACAGGATAAGTAAGAAATCTAGAGACAATGAAAAGAAAAGTGGCCGAAGAAAAAGGCCATCTCTTCAAAATTACAAGTTTATTTTTTAAATAGTCAGCATTTAGCACTAAACATTTTCCCCAAATGTTTTATCCACTTTTTTCATTCTATCTATGAAGGAAGTTTCTGGTTTTATTTTTATGCACAGTATATTCATCTTTGGCATTAGATGAGAAACTTTGAACATTCAACACAGCTTTTTGCTTTGGGAACAACAGGTTTTCTGATGCTGCCTAATCTGGGCTGTATGAAACATGGAGATGACAGAAAGGCATAGGAAGTGTATACAGGCTTGCTGTTTTGATTTTTATGACTACTTAATGGGATCCAGAACATTCATCTAAGGAACACGCATCTAAAGAATATATGTCTGTTGTAGCATACCTACAGGCGATATGCCCCCATTCCCATAAATACAGTAGTAAATGCTGTATGTTGGTCTGCAGTTGGAGATTCATTGTGGAATTTACTTGACTCACTTCTAGCAGTTGACAACTACTTCTATGCACTGCTGGTGAATCTTATATGTGTTGTTCTTGTCCTAAGCATTATCGTTCATTACCAACCTTCCTGTGATTATTCTATTCTGTAACATTCCCTAGATTACAACAATATCTAAAAAATATTTGCCAGGAGAATTATGGTCTAATGTGTTAATATACAAACAATACATGCCAATAAATGCTTATAAACCATATGTATCATCAGTAATTAATGATATGATAAATATCTTAAATATTATGCTGTAATATAGTGAATAACCAATGAGTATTTTGTACATGAATAAAGTGTTAGTTCATTTTTTAAAAAAATATTATTATAGACCAATAGCCCTTAGATCAATATTTTTTTAAATAAATATTCCTAAATCCCTACTTTACCCATTGATCTTTTAAAGACAGTGATGTTTTTTTTTTATTTAATTTTTTTTTAATATTTTGGAGCGTGATGTGCACTTTATACAGTAAGGCTTGTAGACACTAAGTTATTAATACACATATTTTTACTCATTTATTTATGACCTCAGTGTCATTAATGAATGACCAGTTATAGCATGACTGTCCAAAATGCATTGTTAAAATTGCACATATGTGAGCATTTGGGAGCAATGATTGAATGAAACAAAGAATTTTTGGCTTACAGATTCTCATCGGGTTTCATCACTAAAAAGATAGAGAGAGCGGGTGGAGGTGATGGCAGAGGACACATAATAAAAAACCATAAGCCATGTTTGATTTGTCCTCTCAACTCACCCTACCCACCTCTGGTACAGTGTAAACGTTATAAAATGGACAAAAATACAACTTCTATAATAAGAAAATTCAGAATGACAATAAACTCCAGGAGTAAAGAAGGCCTAAAATAGGATGAGGTGGAAGCAGGGAAGATATGTAGGTGGAGAAAGATTGAGAGTCTTGGAGAAGAGAGAAAATAGAGGTATCGGGGAGGGGAGTCGGTTTGTGTTGAAGAAGTGCAGTGGGGCTGGGGGTTGGTGATCGAGGTAAGAAGAATGAGGATCGATTTTCTTGGGACACCACCGCCGCTATTACCGCCACCTCCACCATCATCATCATCAGGAAGGGCTGTCAGATAGATAAGGGAAGAGGGACAGTTATGTGAGGAGAGGCATGTATGTATAGATGGAAAGAGAAGAAAGGAATCGGGGGGGGTAGAGGGAAATCTTGTTGTCAGTAACAGTTTCTGCTTTTGTCCATCTCTGGGGAATAGATATCGGCGGCGTCTCTTTAGAAAATGCAGTATCAGGAACTGGAAGACAGGAATAGATATTTCGTAAAAGAAGCAAGAAAGAAAGAGAGAGGAACCGAGTATGAAGATGGTAGCTATTGGAAGTAATGAATGATGAGCAAAGTGGGCGGTGGTGATAGAAAGCTGAGAAGGGGTGAAATGAACTTTAATATTTAATAAATGAATTTTGTCAGATCCTTCCAACACTCTCTATTTCTCATTCTCTCTCTGTATGCCCACACACAGTGATGCTCTCTGTGACCGAGAGGTCTAAAGTACCCCAGATCAGACGGTGTTTTTTTTTTCCTACAAAGGGAGACACATGTTTCAACACATTTTCTTTAACAAGTCTCTTGAATATGCAAGCCTGTAAGCCTAATTCATACTGTTTTAAAGAAGCTGGGCATCTGCTTAAACATAGATATCCAATAATAATGTTTTGTGTAGTCTTCTTCTTCTCTGTGCTGTGTCCCTTCAGGATGTGCACAATCATGGTTCTCCACAACTTTCAGTCAACTTCAGATGCTTAGCAATGTCTGCCTTTTTACTCTTTTTCTAAATTCCTGTTCTGCCAGACATTTCAGTCAGTTATGTGTCATGCTTGATACATGTTTAGGCAATCATGTATCTTTCAATACATGACTGACCAGGCGTTTTTTTCCCTCAGTAGGTTGTCATTTATTTCTGCGGTAGATCAGTTACCATCCAATGCTATAGAACCCGGTCTGTCCTGCTATTTACCCATAGCTGGGTGAGAAGAAGATGATTCATACCTTTCCCAAAGTTATTAGCACATATGTGAATTTAATGGATTTGACTGGTATTCAAACTCGGCTCTCCGATTCCTCAATCCGAGCCGCTATCCAGCACTCCACTCTGCATACATTTACACAAGCTTATTAGATAGATTAGTTGCTACTTTCCTCTGTCCCATTTGCCTTAAATGGCCTGTGAGTGTCAAATTTTCCAAGCCCTCTTTCTTCATTATGTTTGTTAGAAATTTCAATTGTCTCATTCTGATTCTAAATATGAATGTCCTTTAATAAATTTATAAAATATCGTCAGGTCATAATATGGGTGTGACTGGTAGTGTGTAACCCAATACGACCTGTCATATGGTCATTTTATGGGCAACTAAACTAGTTCCCCCACCAGGCTTTTCTGGTGAAGTAGATGGCTAGGCATTCTATGATATCAAGTTGATATTGTGAAGGTCATACTTGATGTATCCATAATATATAAAATAATGGCTGGCTATTCATTTTCATTTAGTAGGGTGTCTAGCTTATCCCTGTTGCTGACACCTGCTCAGCCATATTTGTGTTTCTTCAACATCCACTAAGACAACCTGTGATTTATATTCAACTCTGCTGAGCAAACTGTAATTACATTTTCTGGCACAGATCATATAAATATTAAATGGCATAAATCATACTTATTATAAAACCCAGGTTGTGTGTGTGTGTGTCTGTACGTTTATATATTGGATCGGATTTCCTACATTTTCAACCGATTTCAACAAAATTTCACAGGTCTACGTAAAATTACCTTGCGGTGGTTCTGACAGCGCCAAAAATTGGAAAAACACAATTGTTTTTGCATGAAATCAATTTGAAAACACAATTAAGAGGCATCACGAGAATGAAAGGGGGACAACTCATATCGAGTTATACTTATTATAAAACCCAGGTTGTTTGTGTGTGTGCGTGTGTGCGTTCATTTATATATGGGATCGGATTTCCTACATTTTTCAACTGATTTCAACAAAACTTCACTTTTTTTTTAGCAGGTAGTGTTTCTTATTGTCTTGCACACTTTTTTCTTTATTTTTACATTCAGAATGCTTTAAAAATTCCATTTACAAGACAATTGTTTATAATAAAATTCTATTCAATCAATAGATTCATAATGATTGAAAACAATGTTTTTGTTTGAGTTTGACCAATTCGTAAAAAAAATGAAACAAAACAAAAAAAAAAACTAATTAACGTGTCCGTCAACCTTAAACAATAATCTTTGTGAATTTTATTTTTCAGTCTTTATGATGGTCGATACTTGATCTATCTCTTACTGTTACATCCCTGGGCAACGCCGGGCTCTACTGCTAGTATTAATTAAAAATGGCCATTATGCTGAAATCCTCACTCATGTTGACTTGTAAGTTCATGCTAGTCGACAGTTTCTGAATAGTTTTGACTGACTAATTTCACTGACAAGACTTGCCTCAGACCACGGTATAGTTTAGAGATATTTTTCAATGGTACCACACACTGGGATTATTTCTCCAAACTAATATTATTAAGAAGTCACTATGTTGATAAACTAACCATGATGAGATTTAAACTCTGTTCTCCTGGTTGGAAAGTGGTTATGCTATGCCATTAGCCACATTCTCATTATCTTTCTGTAGTGAAATCACTATAATCATTGCAAGCAATTAAAAATTAACAAAATGATATCAAACACAAAATACTAAATATCTTTCAGTAAAAAAATATAAAATAAAAAATTAGAAACCTGAATTCCTATGTGAATATGCAAAATGCAATAAAAACAACATAAAAAATGCAATATTAAAAAAAAAATTGAACTGACGACAATAACCAATAAAAAGGTGTTTTAAAATGGCTTGTGTTTGCCAAAAGTGCTTTGACATGGGATGATATTTTTATAAATATGAACTGGTAATCAGAAAAATTATTGGAAATACTGAAAAAAAATAAATGAAAAAAATACACATTATATGTACATGCACAAACACACACACATACATACATACATACATACATATATATATATATATATATATATATATATATATATATATATAATTTTATTTATTTACCAAAACTTGTATTCAGACTGATGGTGAGAGAGAGATAGGAAAATACAGATGCTGAAACAGAGAAAGAAAAAGAAAGATGGGAAAATACGGATGGTGAAATAGAAAGTGAGATAGAGAGAGGAAAATACAGACAGTGATACAGGGAGAGAGAGGGAGAAAGAAAAAGAGAAATAAGAAAATACAAATGGTGAAACAGAAAGAAAGAAAGAAAGAGATAAAAAATAAAAAAAAGAGATACAGGAAAATACAAATGGTGAAACAGTGAGAAAGAAAGAAAGTGTTCAGAAAATACAGACAGTAAAACAGTGAGAGACAAAAAAAGAGAGAGATAGGTAAATAAAGACAGTGAAGCAGAGAGAAAGTTAGAGATAAGAAAATATACATAGTGAGACAGAAAGAGCGTGATAGGAAAAGACAGATGGTGAAATACAAAAAAGAAGTGATATTAAAAAAAAACAGTGTAAATATGAAAAATGTGAGAAAAATAAGCATTTTTTTTTTTGTTCTATTTTTTTGAGAAAAGAAAGGAAAGCAGTTTAAAAAAAGAAAACTCTGGAAGAGGTCAAGAAAGAAAGAAAGAAAGAAAGAAATAGAATTAAATGGAAAATTAAAAAGTGTTAAAGAGACAACAAAAAAAAACGAAGAAATAGATAAAAATAAATATTTAATAAAAAGCAGGGAAATAAATGCCGAAGTTATTTGAAGATGGTGAGAAGAGAGCTCATCAAGGTGTAAGGAGAGAGAATATAAAAGCCTGAAAAACAAATAAGAAAGCTAAAAAGAGAAAATGCTTAGAAAATTCTGAGTGAGAAAAAGAAAAGAGTTCAAGTTTAGTTTGGAGACATTGAGAACTTAATTACTTAATGTGACATGCAACTCACGCAATCTTAAACTTGGGCTTTAAAGAAAGTATATGTGTGTGTGTGTGAGAGAGAGAGAAAGAATTATCAGTAGAGCTGAAAATAAGAGATAATGTTAAAAAAGTGTTTGGGTTGAAGGAAGAGTGAAAAAAAAAGATGTGCAATAAAAGAGTGACAAAGAAAACTACAGCAAAAAAAGAAAGAGTTTGTTTAAAAAGAAACAGCAAAAATTCTTCACTTAGACAAAGAAAGGTCATCAAAGAAATGTTTGGATTTGAGGGAAAGAAATTTTTAAATGCATAAAGAGAGAGAGAGAGAGAGATGATGTGAAAAAAGTAAAAGAGATTTGAGGGGGGGAAGAGTGAGGAAAAAAGAGTAGCTCTGAAATGAAGTATAGCTACACAAAAGAGGCAGTTGCAGTCTAATTTCAAATGAAAGAGTGAAAATCCTTCTCTAAGAAAGAAAGAAAAAGCATGTCATGAGAGAAATATTGAGAATAGTTTGTGTGAGAGAGAGAGGAAAAGAAATGGTAGAAGTGATGATATAACAAGTAAAAGAGAATTGGAGAGTGGGGAAAGAGAATGAGAAGCTTTAAAAGTAAGAAAAAGAAAAGTTACACATAAGAATCACATTGAGAAGGAAAACAACAACAATGGAATTAAAAGGAAAGATTAAACATCCTTTAATGAAGAGAAGCAAAAGAAACAGAAATGGTAAAAAAAGAAAGAAAGTGAAAGAGAAAGAAAGTGTATCATCAGAAAAATAAAATAAGGAAAAGTTTTTTTTAAACACATTATGAAATAGATGAGAAAGAAAAAGTGTTTAAAAACATTACGAGAGAGACCAAGAGAAAATGAGTGAGAACAAGAAACGAAAAGAATTGAAAATAAAAGCTTATCAAACAGGGAAGTAAAAGAGAGTTAGGAATCATGAAGAGTGAAAAAGAGTAAGAAGCTCTAAAAATCACACAAGAAATAGAGACTGAAATAAAAAAAAAAAGAGAAAGAAAACAGGAAGGAAGTAAAAGAGACTGGTGAAGAGCAATTGAGAAAGAAAAATGAAGGAGAGAAATGTCTTAGAAAGAAATAAAAATTGAACTTAATTACTTTAATAAATAAATTTTTGTCAACTCTGTTATGCTTCTTCTTGTGTGTTATTTTTGGAAAACCCATTCTCAGTAAAGCAGGCTATAAATGGGTCGGTTGAAATGACAAGATAGAAAATATATTCAGAGTTTAAGCTTCTGTAATTCTTCAGAAATAACTGTAGTTCAAGTTTTGTGATTTTATTTTTAATCCTGTGCATTTCCCCAGACACGCCCGCATTAAAATAGCTTCTAAAATCATTTCTGGATTTTGGATTATTTTATTTTGTCATATTCTTATTCAGTGTCTTCCTCTATGTTTCATCTCCCTTCAGGACATGGGAGATCATGGCTCTCCAAACATACTATACCTTCTGGCCCTGAGCTGTTGTTCTCCTATTTCTAAGCCTCCCATTCCCTGTTCCATCATCCATTTACAAAGGCTTGTCAGGTAGATGGCTTGCTACCTTCTCCTATCTCTTGCCCTGAATCTGCTTTGTGAGCATTAAGTTCTCCAAACCCGCCTCCTTAATTATGTGTCGAAGAAATTTCAGCTAACTCTATCTGATTCTGATATTGGATGTTTTTGTTACCAGTTTTTTAAGACTTTCTCATTGATTCCTTACACTGTCCATGGAATTCCCTGTTTCCTTCTGTAGAACCATATTTCTGTTGCTCTAGTTTCCTTATTCATGGGGAGATTGTCCAGTATTCACAAGATGGATATCGCATTGCAATCCAGCACTCTTTTCTTTGTTTCTAATGAAATTTTTCAGTTTCTCAGCACTTTGCTTCATTTTTGGAATGACACTTTCACTCATCCAATGCATGTTCAGATTTTGGTGTTGCATTTAAATGAAAGTCAATAATCATTTTCTGTCTTCCTGAAATCTGTTCCCTTATTGTCCTTTCTCCTTATTAAAGCCTTCTCATTCTCTTTCACTCTGACTAACCTCTTGTGTTTTAGTGATATTATTGCCTTGATTTGAGTGAAATGATTAAAAAATACTAATTAATAATTAAATTTTTTGTGATTTGGTAAGGTTATTTGTGATGCACCAGTCTACAAGATCTGATAAAGGATTGCCTGCTTTAAGACCTACAGGATTTATTTGATTGAACCAATTTTTAATCAGTTTTATATATCTTATAGCTTGGATATATCTGAATGGGTTTGATGCCATGTATGACATCCATATGAGAGTTTAGATCTGACAAGGATATATGATGTGTTCAGCAGAGGAAGGGTGTATTCAACATTTGATAATTTTGCAGCAATATGCACTTAAAGGTTTTAAGCAGATTTGATCAACATTTCTTTTCATTGTCAACCGTAAGAAATTGTAAATATAGAACTACCTTACACTTAAGTAAAATAATAACAATAATATTATTAAGAATTTATTACAGGAAATATCAAGTTTTATGGAAACAAAGTTTACAATTATGTATTTAATAACAAATAAACAAAAATAATATAAATTTTGATGCTATATTTGATTTGCTGTTAGGTATTTTTCATTTTCTCCTTTGATATTAGCAGCATTTTAGAATGCTTTGGCTGCAATGCTAAGTTTTCTAAGTTGAACAGATTTGGGCTATTTTGTTTATGCTTTGTTACCTCGCTTTCCAATTGTTCTTTTTAGATTGCTTTCATCCTGTCATTTTGATGGGCAATAGCGGAATTCTGAAGTCTAGAATGATCTTATTCCATTTCAAAAATAAAGCCTGTAAAAAGGAATATTTTAAATTAATATATGACCAAAGATAAAATGCTTTTGCCAAAAAAACCTTAATGATTTCACTATAATTATGTAACAATAATATAATGATATTCTGCAGACAATTCTACGATTTATGTTTACTTCATCTGATTGCATGGTTACGAACTATAAACCTAAACTGAGTTTGAAATATTGTGTAATTGGCTCTAATTTTTTTGTAAAATACTCGGATATGATATAATGAATAATTTGCAGTGAAAAAAACAATTTTCAATTCTTTTGTTGCATATGACCTTCTTCCACCAAATGTGTCATATATATATATATATATATATTTGATTAAACCAATTTATAATCATTGATCTGACAAAACAATTTTATATATCTGATATCTTGGATATCTCTGAATGGTTTAATGCCATTCATGACATCCATATGAGAGTTTAGATCTGACAAGGATATATGATGTGTTCAGTGGAAAAATAGAGAATATGTATGTATATATAGGAGGCATAGTGGAGTAATGGAGAGCAGCTCGGATTGAGGAATCAGAGAGTCAAGTTTGAATTCCAATCAGATCCATTACATTCATTTATGTGTTAATACCTTTGGGAAAGGTATGAATCCTCTTCTCCCACCAGCTATGAGTAAAGTAGTAGGACTGACTAGTTTTGATAGCCTTGGGTGGCAACCAGTCTAGGAGAAGGAAAAACTGAATTCAAAACCAGTCTGGAAAGGGTTGGGCTCCGTGAGGCTATCTTGCCTAAGAAACATCACTTCTAGTACAGCTACAGTGCATATGGTGCCTCTATGACCCTCATGGATCACGGGATTCCCAATCAAGTGATATATATACTGTGTGTGTGTGTGTGAATTTATTTTGAATAAAAGGTATCAATTGTACTGTCCTTACATGTGTATTTCAGGACTTAATTTCTTGTGCAAAGACAAAATAAAAGCAAATAACCAAGTTGGAATTTGCACATTTTCCGTAAATTTAGTGCCTTCATTTTAAACTAAGCCAACTATTTTTAAGTATTTGAGTAGAAGACATAGTAAATGGCATTTCCTGTTTTAATAGCTCTCACATTTACTTCTATCCATAAAGGTTAACATATCTGTTTGTGTGTGTGCATATGTATGTATGTATATATATATATATATATATATATATATATATATATATATTGAAAATGATGCAGAACAAATTGAAAAATTGGAAATACCATTCAAAACCTCTACCTCTGATGACTGGAAATTGTACTAAGAAACATCGATGTCAGGATAAAAATTGATATTTAAAAAGTTAAGTAATCTTTTCATATATCATTAATGGTCTTATTTTTAATATTATTTTAATATTTTTAATACTGAGCACTATATATATAAAAATATATGAAAAAAAAAATGCTGTTTCTTAAATCTTATATAGGCACACAATCATCAGGACATATATATATATATATATATATATATATATATATATATATATGACTTGGCATTTGTATTTAGCATGAGAAAAAATGCAGCCTCTGGGTTCTGACTTCAATGTCCACTTTTAGATTGACATATATATTTATTTATAAATGTGAAAGACAATAGGAAAACTGTAATATTAGCCAATGCTTTTTGTCCAATGTGGACTTTTCACGGCAAAAACAAAATGAATTTATTAAAACAAAGTAACTCATTTCATTTTTGCCTTGAAAAAATCCACATTGGACAAAACGCGTTGGCTAATATTACAGTTTTCTTATTGTCTTTTACATTTATAAATATTGTCTTTTTCTACAGGTTAACTCTGAGAAATTTTTCTTATATATATATATATATATATATATAGGCACATGGCCGAGTAGTTAGAACATTCGCATACTGACCATGAGACCCGGCTTCAAATCTCACCATAGTTGATTTGTCAGGAAGCAGACTTCCTGATGTTATCAGACTCGAGAGGTCAATCCCAGTGTGTGGCACCTCTGGAAAGTGCCTGAAAATAATACCAGGAGTTTACCCAAGGCTTGAGATTGAAATTCGTTAGACAGAATACTTAGATGCTGGCGATAGCTGTGCTAGCATGAAGTCACAAGTCATCATGGCTGAGGGCATGAGCATTCTGGCATCATTGAAATTGTTGATCATGCAAGATAACACACTCTTTCCCAGAAACTGTAACTAAGTTCTGTTCAGCATAGTTGCAGTATAAACCATTGTGGGTGTTGAATAAACACAAATGCACCTGAGCAAGCATCTGCAATAGGGATTGGCTAGCTGCCCTAGTAGACAGATATACTTGAATATGAGTGGCCAGCTATGCTACATATATATATACATATATATATATATATATATATATATATATAATTGTTGGGCTTCACCATGTTATTACATACATGGTAAAAAGGCAAAAATTATTATATAATTTAAATTTTTTTATATTTATGGTAGAAGAATGCTCAGTATTGAAGATTGAAAATTTAAAGATATAACCAGTGTGGACATAGTAATCAACACTGCATGGTGACTATCAGTTTCAAACCTCAAGCAATTGCTTGAAGCATGAAACATGTAGGGTTGATCCTTAGTCCACACAGCTTCTAACTCTCACTATCTGTCATACATACATACATACATATATACAGGGGTTAGATAAAAATATTGTGAACACCTTGCTTAAACATTTATTTATTGACTAATAAATTGTTGGACCTCCATTAGCTTCTAAAATGGCTTTGATTTTGCGTAGAATGAAATCAGATACGTTTGGAATTATTTCCAGTGGAATTTTATCCCTGTCTTCAATCAAAATCTCAGAAAGTTGCTTCAGTGACGATGACAGAAGAAATCTGTTTCTCACTCTCTGCTCTAGAACTCCCCATAATGGTTCAGTTATGTTGAGATCAGGTGATTGTGCTGGCCATAGAAGATGTTTAATTACATTATGATGCTCATCTAACAAGGACTTCACTTTTTTCACAGTGTGTGTGGTGCATTATTATCTTGGAATACGACACTTTCTGGTAGCCATTGTAAAGACATTGTCATTGAGAATGTTAAGATATTTAACTGCATTTATTCTACCATTAACAGTGATGATAGAACCAGAAGAATACTAGGAAATTGTCACCGAAATCATTACTAAGCTACCTCCATGTTTGACTGTTGGGACTATGCAATCCACACCATAGGTTTTACACAGTGTTCTCCACATATAAACATGCCTGTTTGTAGGAAATAACAGGAAAGAAGACTCAACAGACCAAATAATGTTTTTCCATTCCTCAAGTGTTCAGCTTTTGTGATAATCACACCATTTTTTTCACAACTTGGCGTTCAACTTTGTGATCAGAGGTTTAACTCTTTC